GACCTGAGATTACAGAATGAGGTTTTAAAATGGGGCCGGGCCATTGATAACAGCAGCAATATTAGGAGTAATTGGTGGGAATAATTTAAAAACCTAATGGTTGATTGTTCCCGAAAATCAGTTTTCAGACCAAATTGATCAGTTGTCGAAACATTAATTCGCAACTTCATGAAACGAACAGTGATTATTAAATTCTCACTCTCCCAATATGTCTTCTTCAAATTGTTATTAAAATACTCTTCATTCATCCATTCAATCTCAAATAAATTTTTTTAAACTAACACTTGATTTTTAATACAGTTTTTTCAAATATTAATTCATAATTTAAATGTAATTAATTTTAGTTTTTTGGAGAGAAAATCATAATTATTTAATAAACTTACTAAAATAAAATTTTTCTTTGTTAACCTAAATAGCAATTGACTCTAAAAATATTTTTTTGCATTACTTGTTTTTGTATTATTGGTCAGAAAGTTTTTTAGATCCCTTAAAGCCTTCAAAACTAAGTCTTTTGTTGGACTTTTAAAAATTGAATTGGTTATTTTGAGAAGGGGTGAGCTTCACTTTGGATCCATTGGTGAAAACTGATTTTCAAAATGATTTAATTCAGTTTTTTTAAAGAACTCTGGCGCTTACAGCTAAATCTCCTTCACTGTTAGATCATCTGAATTATATTTACCTGCTCTAGTTAAAATTTAAAGGGCTGGGGTGTGATTGAGTAAGGTCCTGGATTGTAACTAAAGGTTGCCAATCCGTGCCCTGAAAAACCACCCGGCGCTCTAACGTTTAACCTTAGAAAAAGAACGTTTATAGGTGCTTGGAATTCATTAATTTCGATGTTCACAATATTTTCCGGTCAAAAGGGATATTTATTGTTAGATGAGATTAGAGATGGAATAGGATGTGACATTTTGAAATTATTATGTATGTTATTATTTCAATTTTGAGCTTAACTTTAATCTGGCTCTTAAGATTAGCTTTTAAAGGCTTCAGGTTTGTATGTACGGACAACTCTTTCTTAATTACGAAATTTTTTTAATTTGAAAATCTAGTTTAATATTAGAAAATATAAATATTGAAAGTTGAAATTGCCAAAAACTTTTCTATCCTGCTCTTATACAGATTTCAAAATCCTGGGCTATATCAAAATTATCTGAAAATATACTAGCTTTTTTTCTTAAAAATAGTTGAGAGGATTCTGGGTGAAATATATTAAAAGTAAATGAAATCATACATACAATGAGCTGTACGCGCTGTATAGTCTGGTATTAACAACAATAAATTGCATCGGACTTTCTGGACACATCTGCCGATTGGACCAATTTTTAACATTCTGATTCTTTAAATAAATTTGGTCCCCAAGTGAACTGATCATAAAGACACTGTTCCCAGTAGAACACCAAAGTCAAGCATCACTAGCTGTGGTCAGTAAGCGGGTAGAGAACCACCTTGATCACCCTGCATATCAGTCTTAGCTAAACTGTTCTACCGTAAAGTGCTAGACTTCGCTTGCAGGTCATCGGGCTACCAAAGCAGGGAAGGATGATCCTCGGCGATGTTTCCCAGACCGTCACTAAGAGCCCATTCTGCAGCTCTAGTGCGGCGTAAATTACCTCCCTTTTAAACAAATTGGAACCAGAACAAGACAATAAGGTGGGTTGACTACATTAATGAGGATTTCAAAGCACTTACAACAATCGAATACCTTCTCGAACTAAAGATTCGTTAGTCCTTGACTCACAAGAAGTCAAAGAATTTTACTAACGATTCACATTGAAACAGAACTAAAACTTTTAATTTTTATCACTAACGGTACTTCATCCTATTTTTTGATTTAGTTAACTACGAAAAAACTCCAGCATGTTAGCGTCCTGATGTAGTATTGTTTGTGCAAACATTTGTATCTTCAAAATTTGTTTGGTTTTTATTAAATTCTCACATTTTTATTTAAATCGTGTACCAAATAATATTGATCTTAATCATATCAAATAATATTGTTCTTAAATATTTAAATTCTGCATTATTTGATAATATTATCGCTTTAAATTTATCCTTCTGTTTTGTGCGTGGGTACTGTTTTTGTCTCGTATTTTTCAGAATTGTCTTACTATTCGATTCGCTGCTGCTGAAGTTTCAACAAGCTGGTGAGGTGGTTCAAGTTTTGGGTGGTTCAATGAGGTGGTTCAAGTTTTGCCGAAGCTCCGAATGAGGTGGTTCAAGTTTTGCCGAAGCTCCGAATGAGGTGGTTCAAGTTTTGCCGAAGCTCCGAATGAGGTGGTTCAAGTTTTGCCGAAGCTCCGAATGAGGTGGTTCAAGTTTTGCCGAAGCTCCGAATGAGGTGGTTCAAGTTTTGCCGAAGCTCCGAATGAGGTGGTTCAAGTTTTGCCGAAGCTCCGAATGAGGCGGCCCACAGTAATAACTTAAGGGATTGTGATGCAAAAAGCAAGAAAAGGTGAAATGTTATTTTTCCATAATATCAGACAAAAGTAAAAATATCTTCCATTCTTTCATGTAACTTTGTTAATTTTAATAACAGAAATGCTTTTTCCCCAAAGCCGAAGGCTAATAAATGTTTTTAGAACTCGTTATAAACAAAGATTTTTCTGTCTTGAAATGATTTAGAAAAGCTTGCCAGACGTCATGAGTTTTCAGCTTATTTTAACTTTAAAGAAAAATGAAGTATAAAAATTATCAAACAAAGATGCTTTTTAAGGTTTTGCTCTAGTAAAAAAAATCAAAATTTTATGTTGATTTTTGTACAAGTAGCACCCTGTTTTTCCTGTGAAATCAAAATCTAGACAGTTCAAAAATTGAGAACGAAAATAACATATTTTAACCTGTAATTATAACCTATTCTGCAGCTCTAATGCGGCGTAAATTACCTCCCTTTTAAACAAATTGGAACCCGAACAAGACAATAAGGTGGGTTGACTACATTAATGAGGATTTCAAAGCACTTAGAAGAATCGAATACCTTCTCGAACTAAAGATTCGTTAGTGCTTGACTCACAAGAAGTCAAAGAATTTTACTAACGATTCACGTTGAAACAGAACTAAAACTTTAAAATTTTTGCTGAAGTCAATTACTGATTTGTTAAGTGACATTTCAGTTTGCCAATGAGTTGCATTTGTTAGACCTCACTATTTCGTGGCGTTCTTTAAAAAAGTTCTTTTTCAAAAGAGTGCATCCAATTTTTGTTAGTATGTCTCATATTTATAAAAGTTAATTTTCTTAATGTTTACCCATTAAGATCTTATATAAACTTCAGTTTTTTACACGAGTATTTTTATATCTTTTGAAAAAAGATTATTCAAATTGTTTAGACCTATTTTTAAATTTTGATATACTTCTGTTCGTTTTATTTCTACTCTATTAAATTTAATGATCTAATCTATGGAATTCTATATTTTTGTTTACACTCTTGACATTTGTTAAAACCGAGACATGTGTATACAACAGATGAATTTAACCAAGCTTCTTTTTTAGTATTACCTTAGAATATCGTTTAAAAGTAAATTTCCTTTTTACTTTTCATGCATTGAAAGATTTCCAAGTATTTAACTTTTGGTTAGAAACTTCATGTGAAGTTTTCGAACTGTACGATCAAATAAACCAGTGGTTTAATTTAAAATATACTGTTGGCTGAATGTTCTTAGAGGAAGTGCACTCTTAATATTAACTTATTAGATAGAAATACAATAAGTTATTAAATAAGTATGAAAATTAAATTATGGTCACCATTTTTGTTTAATTCAAGTCAAAATGGCAAAGTGCTATAAACAGCTAAAATTAAAATTGTCTTAAGTAAACAATTTAAATAAAAATGTGATAAATTAACTAAAAACAAAGCAAATTTTAACTATACGCATGTTAGCACAAACGGTACTTCATCCTATTTTTTGGTTTAGTTAACTACGAAAAAACTCCAGCATGTTAGCGTCCTGATGTAGTATTGTTTGTGCAAACATTTGAATCTTTAAAATTTGTTTGGTTTTTATTAAATTCTCACATTTTTACTCAAATCGTGTACTTTATATCAAATAATATTGTTCTTAAATATTTAAATTCTGCATTATTGGATGAGATTATCGCTTTAAATTTATCCTTCTGTTTTGTGCGTGGGTACTGTTTTTGTCTCGTATTTTTCAGAATTGTCTTACTATTCGATACGCTGCTGCTGAAGTTTCAACAAGCTGGTGAGGTGGCTCAAGTTTCGCCGCAGCTCCGAATGAGGTGGTTCAAGTATCTGTCTTGAAATGATTTAGAAAAGTTATTATGCCTGCCAGAAGTCATGAGTTTTCAGCTTATTTTAACTTCAAAGAAAAATGAAGTATAAAAATTATCAAACAAAGATGCTTTTTAAGGTTTTACTCTAGTTAAAAAAAAATCAAAATTTTAAGTTGATTTTTGTACAAGTAGCACCCTGTTTTTCCTGTGAAATCAAAATCTAGACAGTTCAAAAATTGAGAACGAAAATAACATGTTTTAACCTGTAATTGAGGGAGGGAGAGAAAGAGGCAACTTAAAGTATAAACAAAAGCAACAGGTGGGTAGGTAATAGAATTATTTAGCTAGTGATAACTTCGAAATTTGCCTAAAATGAATGCTGAGCCCTGATGGCTCTGTGAACAGTGTTCGCCTTCCCATGAGGTGAACCGGGTTCGAATTTCAGCGATGGCTGATCGATACGTATTCCGCATCCGGCTTGCACTGACCTCGGTGCTGACGTAAAATATCCTGAGTGGTAGACGGGTCATGGGTTAAAAATCGCTTTACTGTCTGCCTAACCGTGGAAAGTTTTGATGGTTTTCCTCTCCATGCAACACAAATACAGTTATATTGAAAGTCCTCCTGGAGTTCCCTTGTCTTCTGTTTGGGGTATAAGTGCAAGGCTACAGAGCTGAGCAATAATAGTCATAAATCCAGAAATGGGTCTGTTGTTCAATGCCGGTTGCGCAATTTTTCTGTAGGAGTTTGTGGAGCAAGGTAGGACAAAAACATTAGTTTAATAATGAAACTCAAACTTATTTCCTTTTTTTAAATTAAATGTTAACATCGATATCATGGACGGTGAGATCTGCCTACACGCAGCGGTGCTCGGATCAAGAATGAATGCTAAATAAATTGTTCTATGGAAAAGAGTTATCAATTCCCCGTCTGGACTCTATGGCATCATGGATACCGGGGCTTAAGATAATGTTAACGTCTTTAGGGTCGTATTAAGTTCATACATAGTTGTCCGTAACTTTTCAATGAAGGTCACACTGATAGCAATCGGAAGAACCTTCTTATGTCTGTATATTATATAGTGGATATCTTTAAAAACGTTATGCAAAACATAAACTTTTTAAGCATTATGGATTCTTAACACTATAAACGTTCACAAGGAAGATTTTTTGGTCCTACGTTTTCGCCTGATTCATTGAACCAATTTGCCGACTTTTGGCAAATACGTGGCTCATTCGTTTTAAAACACAAATGAACGTGTTATGAAACGGAAAATTTCAATGCATTGAACAACTGTGAAATCCGAATAGGGAGTGGTAGACGGCCGTTCTGCTCCCTCTTCGAACTTCACACTTGTTCAGCCTTTTTGGAACTTTTCCGTTCTTTCGACTACGTTGCCGTAAGAACCGGGGTGTCAAAAGAACTGGGTGGTCCTGGACTGCGATGCTAGCCCGCATGTCCGTGACCCTAAGTATCTGAAGAACTCTGGCGCTCACAGCTACATATATTTGACTGTTAAATAGAGCAGGAAAATTTTAGATAATTTAAAATGCTGAGGTGGGATAGAGTAAGGTCCTGTACTGTAACTAAAGGTTGCCAGTGCGTGCCCTGAAAAATCACCCAGCTAACGTTTTATCTTAGAAAGAGAACGTTTATAGTGCTTGAAATATTTTAAATCTATAATATTTTCTGGTTAAAAGGGCAAAAACATAGCTGCTGGGTAAAATTAGTTAAGTGATAGAATGGTGCATTTCAAAAATGTTAACAATGGTATTATTCGAAATTTGAACTAAGCTTTAATCGAATTCTTAAGAATAACTTTGAAAGCCTTGAGATCTATCTGTACGAATAATTTTTTTTGTTTCCGAAATTATTCATTTGAAAATCTAGCTCAAAAATATTTACGATGAAAGTCACTAAATTTTTTAAACTTGTGCTCACATAGGGTTCAAAAATCTGAGGTATGTCAAAATTTCTTTAAAATGTCAGTCTTTGAAGAATAGTTTTAAGGATTTGGGGAGAATTGAGGCATTGGAAGGCGAACGCTCTATCACCTGAGCCATCACGACTCTTGTTTACATATTGCTAAAGAGTTAACTAAAAGCCTTTTTTAGTATCACAACTTTGGAATATAGTTTAAAAGCATATTTTTTACGCTACTCTTTTAAACATTAATAACTATTAGTGATAATTANTTTACATATTGCTAAAGAGTTAACTAAAAGCCTTTTTAGTATCACTACTTTGGAATATAGTTTAAAAGCATATTTTTTACGTTACTCTTTTAAACATTCATAACTATAAGTGATAATTATATAAAGTACTGTACCGTCTTCTGTGATTAACTTTAAATTGTACTAATATACTGCGAAATGAGTGTTAATTATAGCAAGTGCATTATTACTATTGTTTAATAACTTTTTTTCGGTTTAGAATGTTGGATTATTCTACCTCATTGGTTTCGATATGTGCATAGGTACTGCTTTTGTGTCTTCTATTTTTCAGGATGGACTGTCTTCTTGATATGCTGGTGTTGAACAAGCCTCGGGGAACTAAAACGGCACAGCTTCGAATAAAAGCATTAGAAGAGTCTATGGAAAAACTGCGCTATTTTAAGATGGCTTCTCACACTAAGAAAACTTTTCAATAGTTGGTAAGACCATGATTTTTCTCTTCTCTCTCTCTATGTTTGCAAATGAAATTAAGAACTGATTCTTGGGTGCTCTCCCGATGAGGTATCTCAAGTTCCAATCCCCGGATGGTGCNAAGTTTAATTTTTCTCAGACTGAATCTTTGCAATTTTGCAGATTCATGTGTCAGCGAGAACCTAAGGACATCTTGTTTGCAAATGAAGTTAAGAACTGATTCATGGGTGCCCTCCCGATGAGGTATCTCAAGTTCCATTCCCCAGATGCTGCAGGCAAATTATTCTACCGGCACAGACCACAGTGCTGACATAAAATATCCTGAGTGTAGACGGATTGTGGGTTAAAATCTCCATACCGTCGGGCTAACCGTGGAAGGTTTTCCAGGTTTTCCTCTCCATGTAACGCAAATGCGGGTTAGTTGCTACAAAAAGTCTTCTTTGAAGGCTTGTTTGGTCCAGGAGTTTCCTGGTCTTCTGGATTGGGTTCCATGGTGCAAGTTTATGGAGATGAACAGTAGTAGTTGTAAACCCAGAAATGAGTCTGCCGTCCAAGCCCGGTTGTACAATAAATTTATTTGATGGCGCATATTACTGCACATAAAATAAACTGTTAACCAAGTTTCAGGGAATGGAAATTTACGTGGCTCCAACACCTGCAATGACATCCAAAACTTTCTTATAAATTGTTGCTTACTTATAAAACGTTAAACTCTAGGCGGTTGTATTAATTTCATACATAGTTGACATACTGACTGTAACATTTTTTGTTGAAGGAGCGGGCGATAAAAATTAATGTAGAAAATTTGTTTTTTAAAGAAAAGCTGTTAAATAAAATCCTGTTAAATACTTCCAAGTTTATGTATATCCAGAGCTTATACGTAAATAAAAAGTGTTGTTAAATGTAATGTGTGTTTTTTACTGTTAGAATAAAGTAGAGAAACTTTTGTGTCTACAGAATGAGGTTTTAAAGTGGGGCCTGGCCATGGATAACAGCAGCAATATTAGGAGTAATTGGTGGGAATAATTTAAAAACCTAATGGTTGATTGTTCCCGAAAATCAGTTTTCAGACCAAATTGATCAGTTGTCGAAACATTAATTCGTAACTTCATGAAACGAACAGTGATTATTAAATTCCTACTACTCACTCTCCCAATATATCTTGTTCAAATTTTCAATTGTTATTAAAATACTCTTCATTTATCCATTCAAGCTCAAATAATTTTTTTAAACTAATAGTGGATGGCACTTGATTTTAATAGTTTTTTCAAATATTAATTCATAATTTAAATGTAATTAATTTTAGCTTTTTTGGAGAGAAAATCGTAATTATTTAACAAAAACTTACTAAAATAAAATTTTTCTTTGTTAACCTAAATAGAAATTGACTCTAAAAATATTTTTTTGCATTACTTGTTTTTGTATTATTATTGGTCAGAAAGTTTTGTTGGACTTTTAAAAATTGAATTGGTTATTTTGAGAAGGGGTGAGCTTCACTTTGGATCCATTGGTGAAAACTCCTTTTCCAAATGATTTAATTCAGTTTTTTTAAGTTTGTCTGGTCTGAAATTTTTTTTAAATGCGTTTAATTTTATAATTATGAAAAATAACTTTGATCAAAATCCCCTTTTAATTCAGGTGATTAAGCAAGTTTAAAATTTCATAGAAAAAGTTTCATTTCATTATTACATTTTACTTTCTTCATATGTAGGCTTAAATTCATGAAATAAAATGTAATTTCAAATTGTTGAAATAAGTTTTTGGTTAACATTTTTTCCCCTCAGTTTTTATTTTGTTTTTAATTTTAAATGTTTTGGGAAATAAGCTGTTTTTAGAGGATAAAACTTAAAGATTAATAAAATTAAAACCTCGGCTTCGAATTTTTTCAACCTTCTTACTTTAATACATATTTAAGAAACGTTGAACTGTTTCATGGAAATGTTGACCTTAAATTAAGAAAAATATTAAATTCCAAATTTTAAGGTACTTTGTTTCTCTACCAGCAGTGTATACAAACCATTTCTTCAGTTTTATCAAAAGTATATCTGGTAACATGGGCACTCATTTAAATTTTTTATGGATGTGTTGGCAAATCTAATTGATCTCGCAGAATATGTATTCAATCTAAAATAATCGACTAAACTTTCAGATGAACTAGGGATTTTATACCTTTTAGTAAGTCTGCTGCTCTCAGTCACCAAAGCTTTTACTGTCTTTACTCTTTCAGCAAAGATTTTCAAACTTAGCCATTTTATTAACTGTAATATATATCTGTTCGAAACTAAAATATTTGAACCAAAATAAATTTTAGCAAACTTTTGTAAAATTTAAAAGTGTAATTATTTCGTATTTATGTACTCTACGGTTATAGATGTGAGAAAAACTAGAAAAGTTATAATAAAAGTGTTTTTTATATATATATATATATATAGTTAGCTACTTCAAATTTAGCCAATTGGCAGCAAATTTTGATACGGTGTAGTATTGTGTTAGGCAGTATTGTATAATTCTGATATTGTGTGTCTGACATTGTACTAAATTTTGTTCTATTTTGTTGAAATAACTCAATTTTGTAATTTGTGTAGGACTTTTTATATAATCTACAGATTGAATTTCTATTTCTGTGTTTTGTAGCACTTATTTGTGTTTTGTAGTATATTAATTATAAATAAAAATGTTATACTTGCAATTTAGTTTTTGAGTTAGTTTTTTATTAGTTTGTGGTCGACTCTATATTTTCCTAGGCTTGATAAAAGTTAATTTTGAAATTTCCCCATGAGGGAATATAATTAAACTTCAATAAATTAATGTTATTTTTTTCAGATTCGAAGAGAATATATCAGCGAAAAGTATTTTTGTAGTATCTGCTTCAATGTCGTACAGCGCGCAAAATAAACTATTTCAAGTTGTAACTTTTCGTTCAAGTGATCGGATTTTCGAAAACTGAGTACAGATATTAATTGTTAAAAAGAATGACTTCAATAGCTAACAATATTTAACTATATTTAAGTATTAGGGGCTAAGCTAGCTGCCGCTTACCAACCCCGATGATTTCGTCGCAATAATTGTTTCGTTTTTCAGAAAACAGTTTTTCTACTTGAGATAAAATTATTCACTTAACATATATGAATTAACATAAAAGAATTCTGTTTGCTTGTGCCTCCACTTCACACGTCCAAATATTATCTATTAGTATTATAAATATTTAGAATATATATTGGTGAATAGAGAAGCAATTTTTCTAAGTAATAATTTTTTTAAAATAACATTTATAGTGTAATAACATTATATTGTTCAAACGAATTTGAGTTCACAATCGTACTTTAAAATTTTCGCAAACCCAACGGGAGAATATATTAAGCACTACTTTTACTTGTATCTAATTCGGTATGAAGCTGATATTTAAGTTCCAAATAATTTAACATAGGCTTAGCGTCTGAAAGGGGCCTGTGCCCCCCCTTTTATTTTGCCAAAATGCAAATTTTTCCTGAGTAGATTGCATACTTAAAAAAAAAAAAGTGTTACGTCTATCAGATTTTTTTATATTCAAATCTTTTAATGCTTATTATATATATATATATATATATATATTAGTTTGACTTCAATGCTTAGTTTGACTTAGTTTAGAACACATCAGAGAACTTTAAAAAGATTCTAAGAGAGTCACTTTTAAAAAAAAAAGATTCTAAATGGTTGACTTAATAATAGTCTGCTTCAAGAAGCTGTTTGGGAATTTTATTCCATGTGCTACCCTCGTGGTTTCTGGTAAAAGCAGCTGTTTGATAAAGCAAGTAAGTAACTATTTTCTTTCAAAAGGAATCGTTTATTACTAATTAATGAATCGGTAAGCACACATTTTCTGAAATGTACTCTACGATAAATGTGGTTTTTCAAAACATGATAGTTTAATTTAAAATATGAAAACTCAGAAGGAAAAAGTTCCTTTAAAAATATTCTCTTTCCATTTTTTTCTTTAAATAGCATTTCTCTTAAGATAAAATATTTTTATTTTATGACTACAGAAAAATTTTTTCTTTAAATTTTATTAATACATCAATGTCTAGTAACAAAACGAAATTTTATGCATAGTTTTGTTTTTTTAATTATATGGAACTCTTTAAAAGTTAAATCTTCTATGTCAGAAACTCATTACTATACAATCAGTTCTAATTAAGGGAGAAATAAAAGAATATTATGAACTATGGATATTCTTAAGGCGACTGCCTGGGTACGATGAAATTATTTTAAAAAATTAAATTTTTTTCAAAACATGTGTTATTGGTTCATGTGTGACATAAAATGATATAAACAAGAAGAAATATTTTTAAATATCACATAGTTTTTAAAATATTTGAAAGCCTGAAATGAGCAAAATTTAGAGCTTACGCCAGACACCATACACTTAATTTAAATGAATAAAATACAATTTTTTTTCTGTACAGATTATTTTGACCCTTATTTGTGTTCTGAACTAAAGGTTCATGAAAATTTTAAAAATTACCCAAATTAAGTGCTAAAAATCTAGAAAAACAGCAATTTTTTAATTTTTTTCAATTGTTTTTTATGTTTATATACCTGTAACATGACCAAATATTTAAATTGAAACTTAGTTTTAGTTCAAAACACAGTATATATAGTTTATAACATTGTTACCAAATTTCATAAGAAAACTTCCATCAGTTTTGGAGTATGAGTGTCTGGCGTGAATCAAAATATTGAAAAATACAGTTTCTCAGAAAACGCTTTTAAAGATTTACTTAAACAAAAATAGTTACATAGACTTATTTAACAAGCTTTAATTTAATAATATTTGTAGTTCAGCCCTTTATGTAGTTCTTGCTTTTTACAGTTTGCATTTTAATTCATTATCTTTTTTTTTATGACCAATTTTCTATTGAGCGACAAACAGTAACTCGAGTATGCGATTTTCTTTGTTTCAAAATGTTTGTTATGTATGCAATAATTCACAGCAAATTACCACCAAACTCCTATTAAAACTGTTTTAGGTTGTTAAAATCAATTGGCAAACAATACCTAAGTCATTTTAGAATGTAGTATAGTTAAATATTTATATTTTTTCATAAAACAGGCAAAAATGACGCGTTAATTTTCGCTGTATTTTGTATACACAACTACATGATTAAAAATATTAACTTCATACTACACACTATTATTATTTTCAACTTTATTTCAAACGAAAACAGT